GAAACACGCTCTCCTGGTCTCAAACAATCCTTTGCGACGTCAGAGCCGCACCCCCACAAACAAGCGGCTCCCATTCAGAACACGACAGCCATCTTTTAAATGATGTCGCATCCCGGCGCTGGAATGTCCCCTTTTTTGGAATTTTATTGCTCCCACCTTCCCACTGCCGTGGTGACCCCGGGTGAGGGGGGGGGGGGAGGGTCGGCATCGCCTCCTCGGCGGCCATTGTGACTCCGGCACAGCTTCGCCGTCGGACGTCACAAGTCATTGTGTCGGGACGGTTTTGTGTCTCGGGGACAAAGCGCCAAAGACAGAAAAGAAAACAATCCGGATGCCTCCTCTAAACCGCCCCCCTCCCACCCCCCCCACACACACACACACTTTATAATGCAAGTGGGGGTCCGCATTGTTGGAGGCGCGCCACTAGTTGTGGTTTGAGAGAAAGTAACTTTTCGAAGCTCCGTCTTGTAATTAGGTCAGCAGGTTCCCTTCCGTCTGCCTCTGAAATTACACAGACTGTCCGAGCGCCGTGTTCTTTCCCTTGGCCTGATTGGCGGTTAGCTAAAGCCGACGGCCGCACGGCCCGCAATTAAAGACTGTGGAAACAATGGGTTCCCGCCGCGGATCCCATCTTTTTTCCCTTGATGTGGCAGAAATCTCCCGCGTTGCAGAATCGTAGCCGATAAACAAAAGAAACCAACGGCGAGTCGTTGCCGTTGCGTTTTGCTTTCCGAATGTCCACATTCGCTGGGCGAGTGAGTGAATGTGAGAGCGTTCGCCATCGCATCCAGCTGCCGGCCCTCCGACACGCAGCAGACGTTATAGTTATGATGCAGCAACCCTCAGTTACTGTTTTTTCTTTAATGATGTACTTTAGGATTAATGGAATAAGTGCACGACGCAGAGCCGCCAACTACAAAGTACGACGCGTTCTCTCAGATAACTGCAGTATTTGAGCAGAACGTTGAATCTGTACTTAAGTGCAGTTCTTGTAGATATAGAAGTACACGAGAGAAGGAAGGGAGTTTTATTGGAACAGCATTAACAACAGGAAGTAGAGAGGGGGGGGGGGGGGTGTTTGAACCCATATAAAATGTGAACAGCAATCCCCCCCCCCTCTAAGCCTCTCTGTGTCACACCTATCTGCAAACAAATTCAAACGCGGCGCAAGCGGCCCTGTTTTCATTTGGGCGCCATGTGATTCTCCGCCAGTCGAAGCAGCGACTTGTTGGTCGGGACCTGCGGCCGCGAGGAGGACCAGATGTGGGCCTCCGGGGGCCAGATGTTGGAGGTCCGAGGGGTCCAGAGGGACGAACAGGATGTTGATAAACTAACAGACCTTGTCTCTTCGTCTGCCTTTATGTCCGTCTTCACCGCCCCCCCCCCCCCCCCCCTCTTCTCCCTTTCGCATTGCCTCCAACCGACCCCGTCGCCTGGGTCCTCTCCGACGCGGCCATGAGGCGCACAGATGTGCCCGTTAATTAGCTTTTCCTTATCTGCCGGCAGCTCAGCTCCACGAGGCCGACGCCAACAACTCGGCTGGTCGCCCCCCCCCCCCCGGACTTATCGGGTCATTTAATGAATGCTGCAGCAGGATGAGGCGGCGGCTTGGTGTCAGGGCGGCGCTGGGGGAGCGAGGGGGGGGGGGGGAGCAGAGGGTCCCTCTCACAGCCTTTTGGTTGTGCCCAATAAAAGCTGCGATGTGCGATCATGTGTCCTCCATGTGTGATGCTGCAGACTCACACAGCGAGTCGGGACTCCATTCACCTCCCTCCCTCTCTCCCCCCCTCTCCCTCTCTCTCTCTCTCTGGGTTTGTTTGGTTTCTCTTGTTCCGGTTGGTCTACAGTGAGGCGGTGAATCCGGAGAGCTCTGTAAAACATTTGTCCAGACGTCTGGCTCCCATGTCGCCCGGAGGCCGTTGGAGCGGTTTGTTTTAACGCCATTATTATATTCCAGTGTGAAACATTGAGGTTGAGTCCAAAGTCCTTTAGGCTCAACAAGTGAGGGTTCGTGAACACGCTGGAGCTTTGTTAACCGCCCTGGCGTCGCAGAAACCTTTGTGGATTCGTTTCTTATCTCCTTTTAACCCCTACGGGTCGTTTGAGGTCACGTCCTCGTCTGCAGTTACAGTCCGAGAGACGTCAGATGTCGAGAAGAACTTGTCGGAGACGCCCCTGTTTGCTGCCCGGGAAGACATCCTGTTGTCCCGACCACCTGAAACGTCTGCGCCGATGAGACGTTTGGCCTCCTGTCATCTTCCTGCTCCCTGCTGCCTTTGAGCAAGGCGCCTGACCTTTGAACAGAACCCCCTGACCGAGTTCTACACTCAATACTCTGTAGGAAACGCTGCGAGTCGTCTCTCTGTGGGAAAAGGAACCGCCACTTTTTTTTTCCTTTCTGGCGCCTCTCGAAACAGGAAATGGTTCAGCCTCAAATCAAACTGTGAGAGGTGCAGAGGTCAAAGGTGAAGGACGCCCTGAGGAGTGCTTGTTTGTATACATGATGTACTTTACCTTTCCTCTTGAAAGGTCAGCACTGTTAAATATCACAAAGAGACTCGTGGTCGTCTTGTGTCTTGTGTTCAAGGACACCAGAGAAGCAGGAAAGTTTGTGCGTACTTAAATACATAAATACATAAGTACCGCACTCAGGTACTCATTGGATGCGTTTCATTATATTAGAATGTAGCCTGCACGGCATTATTTTTCCTTCAAAATGTATTTTCTGTTAAATAAATAAAAAAAACGTGATGAGCCACTTAACAATATTTTACAAAAGCCGAAAACCAAAATAAACTTTTATTCAAATTATTTGTCCCACTGACATCAAATGATCCCATATTTAGAAAAACAGAATGCGGATATATATCTTGATATTGGGATAAAGATGATGGATAGCGACTTCTATGTTCTCAGCTCTGAATCTGCACTTCACGTCCGCGGTTTGATTGTCTTTTATTTGCGTTTCCTTCTGTTTTTCTGAAGCGCTCTCTCATCTGCTCTTGACACGGACCCAATAAAAAAGTTATTTTTTCCTGGCAAAGCTTTTTCTTTTTGTGTTCTTTCCTCTCCGGTTGATCTTTAGCCCCCGATGAGTTTATTTCAGACCTTTGGAATGAACAGTTTGAACTCTAAAGTAGTTGAAACGACACCCCGTCTCCAATGCTAATTCAACACTGATGCATAAAACCTCCATCACCTTCCAGTCAGCTGGAGCCTTTCTGCACAACAACGACTTCTTATTAGAAGTGTTTTTAAAAATCGCTCGCTGTTGAAAAGCCTTCTGGGTAAATGGCTCCCAATTCTTTGCTCACAGTTGCAACCACTTTTCTGACGTAATACGACACAAACAGCCCAAAAATACATACATTTTAACAATATTACCGAGATGAACCTGAACCGGGAAGGAAGTTTGAGACGTCCACGCACCATTTCCACACGTTCACATGAAGCCATCGATATCTAAAGCTCCATCATGACACCGGGTGTCCCTGACACAAGCATTAATATATTAATATATTCAAAACGCCCCACTGAGACACTCTCTTTATGAAAGCACGGCCTTTCTACCTGAGTGGGCCCCGACGAGACAGAGAGAGGAAATGAAGCGGCCGGTAATGAGGCGACTACGCCTCATATTATTGGACCTTTTTACATGCAGCTCTCGCCCTCTGCAGCTTCCCAGTCAGCTGGAAGAGAGGAACAGTCTGCAACTGTCACACACACACACACACACACACACACACACACACACACACATGCACGCAGACGCACACACACGCACACACACATGCACGCAGACACGCACGCACACACACGGTTAATAAGGAAAAGTTCAGCTGTTGGAATAATTTAAGACTCACAGTCGGATACATCAAGCAGAAGACGACGGTGAATAATTTGTCATTTGAGTTACTGTCAGTGTCTCTGATTTGAAACCATTTCACTGGTCCTCTTTTTCCCGTTAGTTTCGGTAGTTGGAGTGGAGTGTCTTGTCCTCCTGTCCCACCGTGTGCTCACATGGGGAAGGGAAGGCATTGTGATTATTATCACGTGCATCATTTACCAGCGCTGTGCTCACAACATCCACCAAGCTCACCAGATTATTTAACAAAAAACAGAGAAATTAAGACAAAATTAAGTTAAACAAACTCAACGTTTTTGAATATTCAGCGATTAGACATTTTAGACGTAAAGACATGAATTCACAATTTCTTATATGACTTTTAGCAATTATTCAGAAACCTTAGCTATTTTATTGAGCTGTCAAAAAGCAGACAGTGAAACTACTTCTCACATGATTATACATTTTGTTGTGTTTGTAATCGGTAAGTAAAGCACGAAGACACTTTGCTAAGCTTGCCGCCGTAAAAAACTCAAGAGTAACCAATCACAGCGCAGCATCGTCCAAAAATCAACCTTTCTCACCTTTTCTGAAGACCTTCGAGCTGACGTTTCAGACTTAGAAAAAAGGTTCCGTTGCAAAGAAAAAAAGTGTGGAGAAAACACTAGCAGACCATTAAACTAGTGTTAGCGCTTTATCACCTGGCGGTAGCACTTCTATGCTATGCTGTGTTTGATTGACTTTGATGCTATTAGCTTTAGCTTTCGCTTCTGTCTTTTCGTTTTATCTTATCATCTTATCATCTTAAACGTGTCCTCCGCCGAAACGTTTTAGAAACTCATGTCTGTTTCTCTGTTGAGTTGTTACTTGGTTTCCTCCCCTCAGACAACACCACATTCATTAAGCTAGCGACAGTTCGGTCTCCATGGTGATGTTGCTCTGACGGTTTGACGGAGTCATAGCGAGCGGGGGGGGCGGGGCTTAGTGACGCGCTCCAGCGCTCATGAACCGCACCTTCAACGTGGAGAGAAACTGAGTCATCAGAGGTGTCAGCTGGCTCATTCTGGGCTGATTCGGGATGAAGTTTTGGGAAGGAGGCGGTGTCCTCCTCCTCCTCCACCTCCTCCTCCGTCCCTCCATGTGTGTCGGGCTCGCGGACAGGGCGGCATGACGTCACGCAGGGTTGGTCTTGCCCTTTTATTAGCCAAGGGGAGCAAAGCGCCAGGTTGCAAGAGCTCCACACTGCAGCTCTGTCCGGCCGGCGGCAGAGGGGATGTCCTACTAACTTCCACCCCCCATCCCCCCCCCCAAAAAACAACAAAAAGAAACTAGAAACTTTCGGTCAAACAGAAAAAAAAACCCACTGACTGACTGACAAAGTGTCGCGACTTGCCTCACACTTTTATGCAACTTTTACATGTGTGTGTGTGGGTTTTTTTTTTCTTTCTTAAAGCTAAAAACAGACACTGCTCATCTGCTTCGATAACTTCTGAATGAGCCGCTCGCGTTCAGAGTTCTTTCTTTTTTTTAATGTTGAACCTCATCTTTTAATCTGACGTCTGGGATAAAGTCGCTTCTCTGTCAGCGCGAGACTCGTGATGGCCGTCCTGTCACTAGCGTTCCTCCTCCTGGGATTTGCATTGACTTCGGCCGACAAGGTAAGCCTCCTTTCTCTGCCGGTTAATACATTCTCATTTTTTAAAAAGTGTCCCCGAACTTGTTGCGTCGGAGTCTTGTGAACGCGCACACTGCTTCCTCTGTGAAATGCGTGTTGACACTGCACACGCGCGCCTTCAGCCGGTTACATAACACGTCAAATAGAGGCATTTTTGTTACTCTTATTTATTTTTTTAACACAAGCATTTTTTTTTATAGTACATTTTCCACTCGCTGACATCTCCCTCTGTCAGATTTAGACTTTCCCCCTGACTCGTGTTTTAAAGACCTCTTTCTCTCCTTGCAGGCTGGCGAAGTAGAAAAAGAGGGTAAGTCCTTTTCTATGTCTTCTCCTTCTTAATAGTGGGGTGTGTGCATGTGGGAAAGTAGATAGAGGACAACCTTGGTGTTGTGAGATCAAAGTGGGAGTTTGTGTGTGAGGAGCTCTGTAATAACCCCCCTCGTCTTATTCCCCTATCACCCTGCCATTCCCACACACACACACTCACACACACACACACACTCACACACTAAGCGAGCAGACCGCTTCGAGGGCTTTGTTATACAGGAAAGTTAAATTCCACTTCTGAATGCCGCACATCTGTTCTCCATTCTGAGGCTGCGAGAGGCGAGCTGCAGTCCACGTAGGATGCTTCGGCCCCCCGCCGCTATCTTCTGAGCACCTCGGGGGGGGCCCTCACGCAGCCGCCCCGCGGGCAGCCAGTTGCACCGCGGCGGGGGACTCTTCTTTTTGTTGCCTTCTAGCCCGCCACCGTGCCCAGAACCCCCCCCATTAACGGCCTCGTAAAAGCAGTCATTTCTCCCATTAAGTGTGGTTTCTCTCCAATTTCCCAACTCCAGCTTTGCTTCTTTTTACAAGTCGAAGCTTCTCTCTAAAGGCCAGGGGACTTCCGATGGCGTCCGGTGACTTTTCCCACACAAGACTTTTCTCTGCGGGCCGCGAACACCAGAACTCACGCCATCAAAACGGTTGTTGTCAACACTAATCTGAGTCTATCGCTCGCATTTTAGTGAATGCAGGCGGAAACCTCGCGCGGCCGTTTGGGGGGTGTTTTTTTTATGCTGCGCGTCACAGCTCCTCAGCACGCACCTACGCGCGAACAGGTGGCGTTCATCTGAAACGGGCCTTTTTAGAAAGCAAGCAACATCTGGAATGAGAACGCTAGCGCGTCCTTGGAAGGTCCAGGGAGAAGCTCAAATCAGACTTCCGTTGGTTTCTTTGCGGTAGAATAGCTTAGTTTTCTCCCCTCTGGCCCGAGCACTTAACTTCCCTTTGGTCAGGTGGTCCTCTGTGGTGTGTTGACGCTCACATGCCTTCAGGTTCGAGCTGATCCAGGGTCAGGATTGAGTGCCCGTGGAGACAATTATTTGCAGCTTTTTTGAAAACCGCCAATCTACAAATCACAGTCGCTTCGCAGCGACCGGCCGGCGCCCAGCCAGGTGTGAAAGCAATTTGGGTTTAAACAGGTTTTCCAAACGACAACAACAAAAACACATCCGCCGCCATCGTTTTGGGTGCTTACCATCCAGCGCGGCGTCGTGCAAAGTGGTCAGAGAAGGCGGAGCTTCGCCAAGGGTCGAGTAAGAAGAGTGGTTTTGGAGAGCTGCCATTCTGCACAAACAGTGATGAGCAGGAGGAATCCATCAAGGCAGAGAAAGATGGGCCGATGTGTCTCCCCTCCAGGTGGAAAGAGCTCGACTTCAACGGGCCTCCACTCGTAAAAAGAGATGACTTCTTCTCTCCGGTTCTGGCTCTGCGTAAACGGACCACAAATGACCCTCTGGTGAAACAAAACTCACTATAGTGGAGCAATTTACGTTCGTTTAAGTCCATAGATGACAAAACATAGCAGATGATGACTAGAAGAGCGCTCAGAGAGCACAGACCCCCCCCAAGCTGTGAGAAGGACTTTAATTCACCAATACGGGTGTAAACAGTAAACTGGTATTAGTGACATCTCTGGATTGCATGTGCGCCTTTCTATTAATCCCTCATGATTATGAAAGCAGTTGGAGTCCAGCGTGGGAATGGCAGACAAAAAAAAATCCACTTTAAAGGAGGATAATTACTGAGTGAAGATTGACTCAATGGCTATCGTTTGATTCCACGAAAATCACAAGGATTATATGTTGAATAAACTGAACTCTAATTCAATTTGAAAGTTTTCAGGGCTTTAAGAAAAGACCATAATGGACCCGTGTTGTGGGTCTGAATAACGCAGCACAGCGTCTGGAAACCTGCTCTTTGTCTTCCTCCTGCTCCGAGGGGGAAATGGCTCTCCAGATTAGAGCCGGGCCTCCCTGAGGATTAAGCGTCGGAACGGCGCTCGGCTCCTCCCTGACTCATGGCTCCACCGACCCTCCTCCACCCCCCACGCCGCCGCCGCTACGGCCCACAAAGCCAACCGGCCCCCTCGGGCGGTGCTGCCTGCGTTGCGCGAACGCGTCCCTCGGTTTTTCGAGGCCCGCAGATTTCCGGTTGCTATTGAGCCGACCGCAAATTAGCCGCCGAAACAACGGGCCTGCGGGCGGGTGTGGCGCGTGACAGCTCCTCGCGCGCATGTCGATCAAACGCACGCGAGCGCCAGGTAGAATACTTGTTGGTTTTGACTAAAACCAGATCTAGAACCGGATCTTGGGAAGTGCCGAAACCCGACGGCGTTTAGCTTTCCTGCTTTACTTCCCCCTCACGTCTCTGCGCACGGGTTGTAACACCTCCGCCGCGTCTCTCCACAGACCGGCTGAGGAGCCGGCTGAAGGAATACGGCCTCATCACTCCCTTCAGCACCGACTCCCACGGACGCTACCTGTCGCACCTGCTCTCCGCCGCCCACAAGCAGCGCACCAAGCGGGAGGCGCCTCCGCCCGGCGGGGCCGAGCAGGAGCTCTTCTTCAACATCTCCGCCTTCGGGGAGGAGTTCCACCTGCGCCTGCGGCCCAACAACCGGCTGGTGGCGCCCGGCGCCGTGGTGGAGTGGCACGAGGAGACGCCGGCCGCCGCCGCCGCCGACGCCGACGACGGGGGGGAGCAGGGCGGCAACCAGACGGAGAGGAATCCGCATCGCGAGCTGCTGAAGACAGACTGCACCTTCATCGGCGACATCACGGACGTGCCCGGCGCCTCGGTTGCCATCAACAACTGCGACGGACTGGTAAGTCGTCTTCAGCCATAAAGCTCGTTTGGTGCTCCAGCCCGTCCAAACCTTTTCACCGCACAAGTGCCGTGACCTTATCAACTCTCCTCTAATGGGTTTTAAGAGTCCGTAACTCCTGAGGTCGGCATTTTTACAGCACATTGTCCCCGCGGATGCTCTTCAGGGCTTTTTGTGCAGACGTTTGTCACGGGTGAGTCGCCGTCTATTGCGCCCACAAAACCCAACGAATCCCCCCCCCTCGGCCCAAACTCCTTCCCAACATAAAACACAAGTTCCCCTTTGTGCTCCACAAAAGTCAGCGGACCAATCCCCCCCTTCACCCGTCATAAAACACTTGAACAGAAATCGGGTGATGACCTGAAGCCACAATCTCTTTGAGTCGTCCAACAAGACGTTTCTGTGTCGCCTCAAAAACTTTAAATGAAGTTCTCCGCAGGAATGCTGGAGACTTTAAAAAAAAGGCAACACAAGAGAGGTAGTGTAACGCACAACTCCACAAGGGCCGTCTGCAATCTGTTAGAAGACAAAGCCGCTGTTAATTTGTTGTTTTACCGTCAACAGCGGATCTGCTGGAGACATCCATCCTGCGGACAGGTGCTGTCTGCACAAGAGCTCGGCAGCACTTTATTGGCTGAGATTAATTGGTGTGATGCACCTGCAATCTGTCCAGCTGCTGTGTGTTTGTTCCCCCCCCCCAAAAAATGAACAAATGCACCTGTTTGTAGACGAGCATTGAAATGAAGTCGTATGAAGACATCAGCCACACCAGGCGGCATCTGGTATGATGAACGCATCGTCGGTCTTAGTGTCTTCAGGGGAGTCTTTGACTTGAAAAAGAGGAAGCAACACCAGCCTCATTCCGCTAACGACGTGTTTCCTCGATGGTGTTTGCCTGGATTGTCTACCGTTTCATAGCTTGGTGCGCCGTGCCGGTTCCTCTGTTGTTAAGTTCGGGGACTGTGACTCAAGACGGCAACATCAAGCGCTGCCGTCGCTGCCGCATATCAAAAGGCGGCGCTCGGCAGCTCCTTTCAGGAGCAAGAAGAAGTGTGTGGTGCTCACATTGCTTTTTAGTAAAAAACAGGCCGACTCTCTTGGAAAAGGGAAACTTGCTCATTGACAAGCACAACGCTGACTGGTGAACGACTAAAATACCGAGATATAAGAGAACTGCAAACCCTCTCCGTAAATCACTGCGGTTATGATGATAATGAACTCGACACGTTTCAAACCAGAGGTCACAAAGTGCTTTTACACCTGGGGGGAAGAAGGGAAGTCAATCAATCGTGAACGAGCACAAAGACCGATGACATCATTTCCAGCTAATGAGAGCGTCAGTAAATGCGCCTTAAAAGCCCGCATTAAGAAGGGTCTTTAATGTTGATAAAAATGCTCCTAATTTGAGGAAGCTATGTCCATTATTCAGGGAAACTAAAAGTAAAATTCACTTTTTTGCAAAATTAGATCAGTAAATCACAAAATAAGAGCGTTTAATTCTATTTGACTCTAAATGGACCATCATTTACTAAATGAACATCATGCTGTGTTGAAGAAGACTCGTAACTAGAGGTTGCGACCATAAACTCTTGTGGGAATAAATCAAGAGAAGTAGAATAATTTCCCCATAGACTTCTATTGGGCTCAGAAGGGGTCGCCCCCTGGTGGTCACAAAGGAGACTGCAAGACGACGCTTCTTCACCGGGTTGATCTTAATACGCGACGCGGCCGCCACCTCGTCTTTCAGATGTGACTTTACGATTCAACATCCAGTTTCTATTTTCTCCCTTCTTTACTTAAATTATTTAATTCGATAGATTTTCTTCCCTGAGGTGGGAAAAAGCTCTTTTAACTACAAGCAGCTTGGTGACCGTCTCTAACTGGACGACGTGTTCACGTAGTTTGTCATTTTGTGAGTCTTTTAAAATGTAAAGTTTCTGAATGTCTGGAACGCCTCCGTGGGAGCTGCCGCCTCAATCCGCTTCCGACCTTCACGTCGACATCGGCCCCGTTTCCTTTTGATTGCAGCGGGGAGGAAGCCGTTCATCACTCGGGGCGGCTCAGCCTCGCCGAGACATTTATGGTCGACCCTCGGCGGAGCTGCGGGGGCCCGAGAGGGGGGTCCGCACAGGATGCGAGGGCACGGCTTTGTAAACACCGTCGGGGCAGGATGTCACTTTGAAGAAGACGCCATCGGCCATCAGACGTCCGTCCCTCTGCCCGCTGGAAGGCTGGTTTGACGAGAATGATATTATTAAGATACAAACACACCGGTATAAAACGGCACGTTTCAATAAATATAACCTGGTTTCTGGGTCAGCACCTGGGTCATGTAGTGTGGGACATTCACCCCGGGGGGGGGGGACTTTAGCCTGGTGTGCAGCCTGAATGCAGAGCATGCAGCGCTGCACAACTGGAGATCAAACACTCAGCTAACCAGTGGTTGCTGATGAAAAAACGCCCGTCTTTGCTCTTTGATCTCCGGCGGCAGCCTTGGCCCTCGCTAGGTGCGTGTTTTACTGTTTCCTAATTATAGCCTGGCTGCTGTCTGGAAGCCTTCGCTGCAGGCTGCTAAATGCTTATGAGGCAGATACCACCCCCCCCCCCCCTTCCTCCCCCGGAGCAGCGTGGGGGAGAGGCGAGGGGGCGCTGATCCCTGCCGGCCCGTGTGGGAGACGGACATCATGTTTCATGCGTGTCAGAGGCACCTTGGAGGGGGAGGGGGAGTGAAACACATCAGAGCTCAACTCGGCCCTTCCGCCTTCTCTGATTTGTTTTTTTTCTTCGGTGATATTGGGAAACAAATCTGTCGGGGGGGGTCACAGCCGAGGGGCGAGTTCAAATACGACGCAGGGCAAACAGTGCGTCGGCTCCTTTAGGTCTCTGCTACGGAAGCTGAATCCCTGCTCATCTCATTAGCACAGTAGAAAAGGTCTCGTTTTACTGAAAATAACTGTTTGTTTGGCTCTCTGGAATCTGGGTCCTATCAATTATCCTCCCAACGTCTAACGAGCTCTTTAGGTGTTGGCGTCATTGTGATCATTGGACCCTCAAAGGAGGCCGTGGGCGACTCATTGGGAATTGGTTTTGTCCCTTAAAAGGTGACGGCCTGTTGGGAATTCATCGGACTTTTCTTGAAGGGAAACGCCAGGTCGAGACATCGAGGCTGAAAAGATGAAAGTTAAATCTGCCGGATCTTTAGGCTCTGACACTTTGCATGAAACACGGATCAAGTCTCTGCTGCGTCAGCCGCGGGCTCAGGATGCGCTCAAACAGCTTCTCATATCTATTTCAAATAAAGGAGAAAGAGAATAAACAGGCGGTTCGAGTCCACGAATCCGAATCACTCCGCCTGTGATGCTTTTTCGGATTGCGTGAAATTAAACCAGGAACGATTGATGCATCTTCTCTTATTGTTCACAGATTCACAGACTCGCCAACTTTCATCATTTAAGACTTTTCTTTCTCTTTTTCATCGAGATCGATCTTGGCTGATCCCAGAACGTCCAACCTGAAGCCATCTTGTACCTCGTGCTCGTGAAGATCAAAGAGGTGACGCTCGAGCCGTTGAAACCTTTAAAACCGTCTTTTCACATTTTTTTGAGGGGGGGGAACACGATCTCCGTGAGGCCTTTGCTTCCGTTCGTGGGATGTAATGACAGTGTCGGATCCTCGGAACACAGCTGGTCTGCGATGGAGGCTGGTTTTCTTGTGCAAGGTGGCTCATTTGTTTTCGTTTTTACGAGGTTCAGCGCTGCGTTAACCGCCGGGGGACGGTTGGTTTTCTCGCTTTTTTTTCCCACGTGGTTGAAACATACAGAACACGTTTCTTGAAAAAAAACGAAAAAAAAAACGGAAGAGGTTCCAGGAAAACGAGGGCGGAATGTGAGAGACCACGAGATGTCAGCAGTGCCCCCCCCCCCAAAACGGTCACATACTGCAGATGTTTTATCGTGGAGGGGAAGCTTCTCACGTCTGTATTTTTGGACTTCAGTTCGTGTTGCAATAGTTTTAAGATGAAACAGAGTTTACTGAAATGTTTTCACTGCAAAGCTCTGCTGCGGACTGAAGAATATCAACGGCTGTTTGATGGATTGCAATGAAATTCAACCCTCTTTCATGTTTCCCAGAGGATGAACGTGTTGATCGTGACTTCTCCTAAAGAGCCACCACGGGCTTTATATTTGTGGCGTGTAGTAGAAGAAGTGTCACAGCCCTTTAGGTTCAGGTGAGATCCACGGATCAAAAACGTTCTCTAGTTATAATCAGCAATGCTAAAACCGTTAAACTAAGATGCTGTGACATGTTGGCAATGCCAGGTCCCTTTGAGCGCGTTAGCTTAGCATGCTGACATTTTGCTCGAGGGACCTGTGAGCCTCAAACAGGTGGAACTTGTAATCAGAGGACGCCACGTCGGATCCGTCCGAGTTGCATTTGAAAGGTCAGATAGAAGAAGGAGAACTTATTATTGCTCACACAAGGGCGAGAAAGATGAAATACAAACAGTTTCTATTCTCAATGCAGCTATGAAACTATATGAACCTTATTGCATTGTGAGTGTGAACAAAGTGATTAATAGCAGCCAAATTAGACTAATTTGTTGTGCGGCGAAAGATGCACCGTGATAAGTCAGATGGAGAGTGACAGGCCGCCGCGTCGCCATGGCGTCGCTGACGGATTACGCCTTGATCCGGTGCCATGATTGGAGGTGGCCTCGACGCTGACAAGGTCCCCCCCCCCCCACAATTTCCCCTGATTATGGAACATCAGAAAAAAAATCCCTTTGTTCACTTCCAGCTCAAGCGTGACGCGCGTCTGCGTGCCACGAAGCGCCGGCGAGCGCTGCTGGAAATGTCTCCGTGGAAAACTGCTTCATCTCCGCCAAGCAGGACAGCTGGAAACCAAAAAGAAGCCTCCTCCCGCTCTGGGGGGGGCGGGTGGGGGGGGGAGTGACAGTCGGCTGACAGATCCGGAGAGACGGCGTCTGAACTGAGATCAGC